AGAGCCATGGAACCAAACTGTAAACCCTGTATGTGATGGAAACCACTTCAAGGGCAGCACCCTTAGTTCCAGCACCTATGTTATAAATCCTTTTAAACTTTTTATTAAAGATACAGGAAAAGAAGAAAAAACAGTGAAAGCCTTTGAAATGTAAAGTGTTAAGCAATGCTTTCGTTTTAACATCCCTCATTCCCTTTCACTGGAGTAAATTTTTAGAAGGATACCCTTTCCCCTGGTTTGACAGTCTTTTAGATGGTATTACCATTATAAATATATTATATATCATATGTAATGGTAATACTGTCTTTGGGGAGAATAGAAGGAGATAGTTGAGATGGGTTGGAGCTGTTATTGTTAAAGTCTGATTCCATTTCCTATAAGACAAGAGAAGACAAACAGACACTAGAGGGGAGAGAAAAGAACAACAAAGACAGAAAATGCAGTTTCTGTCCCTGGTGTTGATTTTCACTTGCAACCTCACTTCTGGAGACACACAGACACAGCACACAGCCTTATCCAGCATTCTGAAACGTGGCACACTTGAACCAGCATCGGGCTGTTGAGGGCATTGAAAGTAGCTGCCTTTCTGGTCACAGGTTCACAGCAGTGCTGCAAAATATATAGTCTTAGCTGGCTAAGCCAGACTTTTCTTAAACAGAAGGAAAAAGGAGAGGGATAGGAAAGAGACACAATAAAGGAGGGAAGAAAAAAAGACAGATGGGGTGTGTGGGGAGAACAACAAAGTCTCATGTCCCAGGTAGCGTTTGGGATTTAGCCAGAGCCGGTGGAGATGGTGATGTCATCCGGGTCTCTCTCATGGCCCAGACTAATCAAGACATCTCTGAGGATCAGGACAATGAAGGCCCAACAGCGTTACAGTAGAACCTGTGGTCCCTGGAGAAGGTGGGGCTGACAGCTACCATGACACAGCTCACTCTCTTCCCCTTTTCAGTCAGTCACCATTGAAAGAGTGAGCTTTTCCCCCAAGTCTCTTTTTGAGGACCTCAGGAGGGAGTGATGGGTGAAATAGCCCTCTCATTATTTTGTCCTCCAGTTAGGCCTGACTTCCAACACACCCGTTTTGGTTCATTGATTTCCAGTCCCACTCTTCTCTTACTTACCAGACATGGTCCTAACACAGTCCTTCAGTTATATCAGTGGGCCTTTTTTGTTTGGACTAGTTCAATCTGTTCCCTTTTTGCACCTTTCCCCATCAACATGTGTTATAGGCTATTGTGACACTTTATAAACTTTTATCCACTTTCCCACAGTTAGGCTCACAAGTGGGGTAAATTTGTAGGCTCAATTATTACAACAGGGGACAAATGAGAAGAAAGAGATCAAATGAACTAGAGTAGTTTGGTGTGCTTTTTCAGAGACAAAGGTCATCTGCACAGTAGTCATTCCATGGGGAGAAAAATGTTCAAGTCACATAGAGAGGGAAATTCATGGGCATTATGTATGGACTGGACCTCTTTCCTGTTATCCAGAATCTTGGTTAAATTCTTTAAGGATTTGTGCTCTTTAAGATAGTTTTGGGAAGGGACAGTAAGAGGAGTCAGAGATAAGACTGTCTCAAAAAGTAGAAAAAAAGCTAGCTATTATTTTAAGTGGGTTCAGGAGCTTACACAATTACACAGGAGCTCTGCCTACACAATTATGCTCTGCTACACCAGTAAAATTAAGCATGATAAAGCTGACATTATTACACACACAAAATTAAATTACAAAACAGGATTGTTGTTTTAGGAATGTGTAAGACAGCTAGATCATATCATTAGCATTGAGGGGTTTCTTTGCACACCTCCCTGAATTTCATCCAGAGGAAGCAGGCATGCTAGATAGCTTTCTAGGAGAATACTGAGTCAAATGGTTGCAATGACAAGTACCACCAGTTCAGTTTCTGCCCACTATAGAGAAATAAATTTCACAATACTCATTTCTGAAGAGTTTAAATGGTATTCATTTAAATTGTGTACAACATTTACAACTTTGCTGCTAACTAGATCAGTTCTCTGGTGCGCAACAAGCAAGCTACTACTGAGAAATATATCTGCTCCTGCCCTCAAATTTATTCAGGCCCTGCCCACTGAGAAACAGTACCTCAGGTTCTGGCTGTCCAGTATGGGACCTTTCTGGTGGATAATATTACCTTCCCCATCTGTTCCTGTTACTCAAGACACAAAAAGCTAGATTCCAAACGCTAAGCAGATCTGAAACAGTGCTCTGCTGTGGTTGCCAGGCTGCTCAGTGAGGGTCATCTGCAACAGCATCCTTCTTTGAATGACCACATGCAGCAAAGGCAGATTACAGCACCCCATCTAAAAGGTTTACTTACAACTGCCACTGTCAAGATCCACCACCTGCACTTGGTAACACCCAAACAGCTCATCAGAATAATGTATAATTTCAAAACAGCTGTAGACTCCCTGCAATGCCTTAAATGTCATCTCACTTTTTCCTTGTACCTAATGGATGTAGCTGAAATCTACATCTTTGTATGGAGTGAACTTTCAATAAGTTGCACAAGCTCACATTCTGTCTAAGGACTTTACCAAATAAAAGCAACTGAATCATTTAAAAAATTACCTTTCATTAAAAAATATATATATATGCCGTTAGTTTACATAGCATTTACAAACAAAAATGTGTTTTCCTGCCTTAATGAGCTTACAGCTGAAGTAAAAATCACCAGTACCCTAAGAAATACAGTATCAAATGAAAATATGAAACCTCAAAGGAAAATAATCTAACAATATATCAACTTCATACCACAAAAAGGTATTCACAGTCTCTGTTGTGTTTTCAGAAGACCACAATATCTGGCACATGATAATGCACTATGTTTCATACGGAAGCATCATGTGTGCTCCAATTCCATCCCAGGCTAAGATAATATATTACATTTTACATAATATATTACATATTACATAATATAATACATTTCAAAGCTGTCATTATGCTTTCCCCCTTGCTGACATTTGATCATTACGGTATCTTAAGAACTTCTAAATAGGTCATGCCTTTAGCGGGAGAAATCAGTTTCAGGAAGTGAGGCTGACAGTTCTTAAGCCTCTTACTAGTGATTACTGACATTGATGGATCCATCTGAGATTCCAGTGATGGACTTCTATACCCATTAGAGAAAGTAGAAAAACAGGAGCCAGCTAAACAAATGGCTCTCAGCTTTTTTAACTCTGCCCACTACTCCAAAAGGAAGGACTTTATCACATTCCCTCTTTTTGATCTTATTTCTAAAAGCAAAAGCTGTCCTCTTCCCTTAAGTCTCTCCTCAGACAAAAGCTTTTCCATGCTTCCAATCATTTTCATTACCCTACTCTGAAGGCATATTTTGCTCACATGAGACCAGACATTAATTTATATAATGACATATTTTTAGAATTATTCTTTAAAGCTTTCTTAATAAAATCTTTTTTTAAAACACCATTATATAATGAGTGTATTTTTTTTTCTTGAGCTGTCAATTTAGGTTCTAAATTAATTATGATCACCTAAGGAAAAGACCTATCAAGGTGTAAGTCGTTCAGGTTGTTTTTTTCATTATTCATTATTCGGCAAATGAGATTTTATGGAGACAAATGCTATCATCTGGCCCATTCACCAGCATTTGTAGGCCCTGCTAAAGTTCTTCAGAGCCTGACTGTCTTCTCCAGCCTTGACTAGCCAATACAATGATGTTACCTACACATTTGGCCCAAAAGTTTTCATTCTACGATCTACTTCATAACACAGACCATCTCATTATCCTTACCTCCACCCAGCACCTTGCTTGTAACATTCTCTCTGCTCAAGTAGTTCAAGCACCATCTTGTGATAAGAGGCTCCAGCCTAAAATACACGTACGCCTTCAAACATGAGAGATATTCAGCTGAATTCCTCTCAGTGCCAATATCTGCTGTGGCAAACTCAATTTGGCTTTGCTTTTTATATCAAGTCATCCCCTTCATATGGGGGCAGAATTAGGGATGGTCTATGCTGGTCTCCTGGGTCTTTTTGAACATAACATTTTCAGGTTTATTCCCTTCAGACACTCCATATCAAGGAACAATCTTGCTAGCAAACAACTTTACAGGTTAGTTGGTAGCTATGTCTGGTTGAAGCTAATATCAGACTGTACTACACATTTAGAAAAAATAAGCAGGGACAGTTTAATCTGTGAAATAATGTTTTTATCAGGATACTTTGAATACCTTTGCAAGTGCCAGAAAAACAAGGCTTACATGACTTAGGTTGAAATTAGACATCAAGGAGAAGTAATAGCAGGAAGCAGAGAGAAACAGATAGTTTTTCCTTTACGTGTACTCTGTATGTAAAGGGAGGATTCCGCCCCCCCCCAAGATAGAGCTGTGGTGAGCTGTCCACCTTGTCAGGAAGCTCAGACAGTAAAACGCCTAAAAAGCAAGTCATCCTATATACTACCAGAAACCTTGCTTTTCACCAAGAGCTTGAACTCCTCCTCTGCTCTTCTAGGATATTCTGAAGATCTCAAAAGTGGTTTTACAGATATTACCACAACAACCTTCATGAGATAGACATTATGGACTTTTTACAGAGAGAAACTGTCACAAATCAAGCAGGTGGTATGAACAGGAAAGGAACCAGGGAATTTAGTGCTCTGACCAATAAAGCACATTCCCTGCTAAAATATCATGCTTATAGAGTCAGACTAGGTACAGTGAATTCGCTGATCCATAATCTATGTGCCAAAGGGCCTTTTACATTAGAGAATTGCTAGCTATGAGTAAGCAGTTTGAGCTGATCTAAAGGCCAACCCATATGCTGACCTTCAGTGCAGTGCTCAGCTCTGCTTCAGTCACACTCAGATATGCCCCTGGCCTTGCTTCCAGAGAGTGAGTAATGAAGACGAAAAGTTGCACCTCTAAATACGAGTTAACCCAACAACCAGCAAAGCTCCTGAACTGCCAGAGGGTGTTCCAGACCGAATCTGTGGAATCAGTTTCTTCTGAATGGAGTGTCTATATTCTCCTTCCTCCCTTCCAGCTGTGCATGAATATGTCAAGTCTGGGGCTAGATTGGTGCCTGTATTGAAAAGCCAGGGAGAAAAGAGAGGTAAAACAGGTAAGATAGGCAAGGTAAGGGTCAGAAACAAAAGAGGTATAAATTGAACTCCAGCATATTAAGATACTAGACAAGTCCAATTTAGCATAATTTGGCTGCAGAACAGAGTGGAGAAAAGAACTATACTGTCTGATGGGGTACACGATAGGTTAAGAGGCTGAGTGGAACATCAGGACTAAGTTGGAGGGTATTGGGAATGGGTTTATGTTGACATCAGACACACAAAATCCCATACTTACTGTGCATGTCTGAGATTGAGCCCCACTTTGAAGGTTTTTTTGTTAGTGCTCTGATCAGAGATCTACTCTGACTGGACATTACAGCTACCGTCAGGTAGTTTGAAGTCAAGTTACCTTTGCTAGAAAGGAAAGCAACAGGTTAGTTTTCCAGCCACATTGGAGTAGGATGTGTAGCAACTTCTACAGTTGAACAGTTCTACAGCAGAACAGTTTGATTTGATTTTAAATGTATTCTCATCTTTGAAAGCTTAAAAAGATACTCAGAGAAAACAGATCAAATACTTGAACATATATTTGCACCAAGCTACAGTAACCACCATTCTGATGGAGTCATGTACTTTGATCCCATACAATGATCTAGTGACAAAACACAATTTGTCCTTGTATGGCAATGTACAGAGTGACCCTCTGCTAGACCACTTTACACACATGGCGAGAGGATGGAAAACAGAGTGTCTACTTCAGTGATTGCCTCTAAAATTGCACATAAATACCACCGCATCCAAAACCAACCATGCACATGCATGTAGAACAAAACTTTATATCTAAGGGCACCTGAGAGCTGGTTGAAAGTATTTTCATTAAAACTTTTTTTAGATGGAAAACTGGGTTTCTGACTAAACAATTTTTTTTTCAGGAAAAGCGTCTGCCTTGTGCAGAAAACTAACACTTTTCATCACAAACCTGAAATATTTCAGCCCAAACATGAAAACATTTTGATTTGCAAATGCTATCGCAGTGCTTCCCTTGTAGTTTGGTTGCTTCATGTCCTGGTTCTCTTCTATGGGCCACACTCCCCAGCTGGATGACCTCTCCCATGACAGGCTGGCTTCCATCTCCAAGAGAATGAGAACATGAGGTACGTGAACTACACCTTCCCTGAGGAACTGCTGCAGCAGGACTTCTGCCTAAAAAAAAATGTTCCATGGAGAATTTTGATGAAAACTCTTTATTTGAGTCAAAAATTTCCATGGGAGAAACCCAAACATTTTTCACCCAGCTCTAGCCACTTGCCTTTCCGGACCTCTTGCTCTTGGTGGAAACATTGTTATCATTGTTTCTAGCACTGCAGTTGTACACTGTGGCTTTTCCATAATGAAATTAAAAAACAGGCCTCTCCCTTACACATGTGCAGCAAAACATACTCCAAAACCTCAGAGACATGTTTATAGCCCAAGCAGAAATGTTTTCCAACCCATCAGGGCATTATCCATCTTAGGACAATTATATGGCCTCCATTAAGGTAGCACCTCAGCGTCTCACAATTTTTTAATGCATTTATCCTCATAACACTCCTGTGAGGTAAGGAAGTGCTATTATCTTCATATTACAGATGGGCAACTGAGGCCAGTGTCTCAGGCACATCTAGCCCAGGGGTTCTCAAAGTTCATTGCATCGTGACCCCCTTCTGACAACAAAAATTACTACATAACCCCAGGAGTGGGGACCAAAGCCTGAGCCCACCCAAGCCCCGCCACAGTCCAAGCCCCACCACCTCGGGCAGGGGGACCAAAGCCAAAGCCCAAGGGCTTCAGTCCCAGGCAGGGGGCCTGTAACCAGAGCCTCACCACCCAGGGTGGGCTTCAGCTTTGGCCCCGGGCAGTGGGGCTCGGGCTTTGGCCCCAGGTGGTGGGGCTCAGATTTCTGTCCCAGCAAGTCTAATGCCACCCCTGGCGACCTCACTCAAATGGGGTCACGACCCACAGTTTGAGAACAGCTGATCTAGACAGTCAGTGGTAGCCTGCAGCAGCAAGCCTACCTCAGGCTCATGTTACCAGGCTAAAAATAGCTGTGTAGACAGATCTTTTTAGGTTGGAGCTTGGGCTCCAGCTAAGGCTCTGACACCCACTCCCATCTATAGGCTTCAGAACTTGAGCTCCAGCCCAAGTAACAACATCTACACAACTACTTTTACTGCGATAGCATGAATCTGAGTTTGTCAACCCAGGGCTGGAGGCTTGCTGCCATGGGCTGTGTAGATGTACCCTAAGTGACTTGCCCAAGATCACACAGGAGGACCAGGAATAACCCCCCCGCCCACCACACAAACAAACAAAATGGACCCAGTCACAACAAGTACTCAACAGCAGGCAACTTTAGAGGAAGGCTAGACTGCAAGATCACAATTAGATTTGTAGCCAGATGGACATTATTGCAATTTTTACTTGAATTGGAAATAAACGTTATTATGTAGTCTCATTTCTGATTCTCAGACTAGCGGTGGCAGAGTTATCGTAATTTATATTGAAGCCAGGATAAAACTAAACATGTCAAACCAGGGGAGTCAGACAATTAAAAAACTTGGCACTATAGTCCAAAAGCAGAACAAGAAAAATGCAGAAAAATGCCATTGCATAATAGTAGCAGCCACTATGTTTCATTTCGAAGTACGTGAAAGAATGAGATGTAGTCAGAAAATGTGGGCCACATTTAATCAGATAACCAAATTTGAGGATTTAGCCACCAAGTAAATCAAAAATAGCCCCAGCGTGCACTTGTGTTTCTAAGAGGTTTCATCTTCTCTTATTGATGTACACGCGGAAATTCCATTAGTGTTTCTGGGAGTTGCAGCTCACATGGAGTACAAATGCCCTAAGGGAGGGAAGGGAAAGAGGAGCATGAACTGAGCTACAAAACAGCATTTTATAATTTATTGCAACCTTGAAAGGCAACAGAGAAGGATTAGGAAGCAGCTCTATGGATTTAATCTCTAAAAACAATCAGCACAGAAATTCTGTTTAACAAAGTCTCTAGCACCTGGAAAGGACCCTATTCCATAGATATTTCATGCATACAACTCCCATTGACTTAATTACATGAAGTAGGTACGGGATCTGGCATGGCACAAGAGGTGAGCAGAGAGCAAAAGGGAGCATGGCCTGAGAAACAAAACATTTTATAACACCAATCTCACAGACAGAAATGATGCCGTGTTTCAAATTCTGACTTTAAGCTTTCTGATGCCTTCTAAAGAATACCTTACATGCTTACCTTACATGCTTTCTTCCTTCAGACGATTTATTTCTCTGCTCAAAAGCCAAAGAATCCAAGACAGGCTCTTGCTCTAACTATTAGTCAATACTCCCTAATATGGAAAAATCTTGAAAGTGAAATTTCAGAAGAGCTCCACATGAGTAGAGAAAATAACTTCTCATCATTTCCAGCTCTCTACTCTATTATTCCATTTTATATGCCGCACTTTAAAGGCCATTTGTCACATATTATTATGGCCAGGGTGTTACATTGGGTTTTCAGAAGATTGAGATTTGTGCCTTTGATATTACTGCCAATATATTTTGTTCAGGTTATCACATTACTTTAATAATAATTCATTCTGCTTAGTTTGATCAAGACTGTTTCATCAGAACTGCCTCGGTGCATTTTACAGACAATAATTCACAAGAAACATTTTTTTTTCATTCTCTTTCTTCTAAGCTAAAAGAAGCTACATCTCCTTTATGAATTTGATTTGCCCTTTGGCAAATTGAAATTATTTCCATCTGTAAAGTCCCCACTTTGAAAACCTTTCAAACCCTTGGGCACTGTAAACTGTCTTATTCCAGTTGCTCTAAAAAATAGACACTACACAACTGTTGTGATAATTGGGCCTTCAAATTTACCCTAATTGTGAGCTCAACAGTAAAAAGTGAGTAAAAGTTCATAGGGGTTCACAACAACTTATAATAATAAATATTGATGGGAACAGTTGCAAAAGGAAGACTGAATGACTGAATTAGTACAAACAAAAAGGCCTTCTGATATAACTCAAGGACTGTGTTAAGATCACACCTGGTAAACAAGAACATTGAGAGACCAAGTATCGATGACCCAAAACTGGTGTTATGGAAATGAGCTCTGTTGGTGGCCAAAGTAATGAGGGGATGGGCTGCTCCGCCCACCACTTCCTTTTGGATTTCTTAAAAAGAAAGACTTTGGGAAAAATATTGGCTCCAGAGTGAGCTTCACCTTCGTGACTGCCATCCCTAGACCTCCATCATCCTTATCCTCAGAGATGCCCTGACCAGACTGGGCCAAAGAGAGGGAACCGGATGACACTGCCACCTCTATCGGCTTCAGCTATATATTCCAGCCACCACCTGGGATTGGAGACGGTCTTCCCTCCCTTCACCCTCTCCCCGGTGTCCATTTCCCTCCCTAGCTTATTTCTTCTTTCCTATCGTTCTCCCTGTGCCTTTAGCTGGCCAAGACTGTATATTTTACAACACTGCTGTAAGCGTATGAGCAGAAAGAAGCAGCTAAATGCAATGCCCTAAAGAGCCCCAAGCTGATACAAGTTTGCCAGGTCTGATAAGGAGTGGCTGATAAGTCCGTATGCTGTGCCATGTGTTTTTCCATCGCTGACACTGCACGGGAGTCAACACCAGAGACAGAAGCGGCGTTTTCTTTTTTTCTTGTTCTTTTCTCTCCCCTCGTGTGTGTTTGTCTTCTTAACTAACTACTTCTCATTTCCCTAAAAGGACAGTTATTACCATCTTTAGTACAGCCTAAAGACTATCAAACAAGGCCTTTTTCCTTCTAAAGGCTCTCTACAGCTAAGAGGGATGTTAACAGGAAAGCCTTTCTTAATGCCTTACCTTTCAAAGGCTTTAACTGCTTTTTCTTCTTTTTCTGTCTTTAATACAAGTTTAAAAGGATGTTTAAGGGGGTGTTTGCCATGGTACTGAGCAGGCTGAGCCCAAACCTCGTTTAACACTGTTGGGCAGTGACTGGGTTACGTTAACACCCATTAGCCCACATAGTCCATCTAAATTCACACCGTACCACCGAGGAAGTCTTCACGAGGCCTCTGAGGCCATTTGCAGGCTGATGACTAAGGCAAACAGTACAGGCTTCTGGAGCTAAAAAATCCATCATTGCCCATCATTATTAGAGCTCCCCATATTACTACCCGCAGCTGGAACTGAAAAAGTGTTAGCATGGGTAGGACATTTTACACAACTGCCCGAGTTTAAACAGGACTTCTGCAGCTCCTCTTTTTTCCAACAGTGCAGTAATAAGCGGAGGTATGGCTCAGAGTGGCATGCAGCGAGAGAGAGAGCGCACGAGCTGCTGCTCAAAGGACCTGAGAGCCAGTTCAAGTTCAGGGAAGAAGCTTTTCTCTTCCCTCCACCACTTCTTCAGCAAGTAGGGGAAGAAGCCCAGTAGCAACTGTTACTTAGTAGGATGATGATTTAATTCCCCCAGGTGGCAGCTCATTTCTCTCTTTTCTCCCAGTAAGGGGTGGAGAAACCCAGAGGCAAAAGGAGAGCACAGCATGACTTCACTACTCATAGCAATGCATTTATTTATTATATATACACACACACACAGAAAGAGGGGGGGGGGCAGAAAAATTAGCTGATTCCATTCCCACATGGCATCCCCCTTTTTTCATCACTGCTTTTAAAAACAATGAACACATCACGCTGGATGTTTTCACTGCTGATCAGTTCAATAAAAAGCTTTAAAGGTTGACGTTTAACTTGTCAGTGTTTGGTTTCAGCATTAACACTTGCCCACACCTGTCAGAGCTACTTTTCAGACTGGCTGCAGATTTGAGGGAAGAAAAAAAGTCCGGCATCTAATAGTAGTGGCAAGTTAACTACCTTCAGAACCATGAAGGACCTCACTTTTAAAATAAAATCCAAAGCTTCAGTTCTGCAGAAACTGATTGGAGAAGAGTGTTCCTGTTAAAGTTTGAGGGTGTTAAACCACCATCCCCATTTACAGAAAATTGTCTCTGCTGAATAGATCCATGTAAACCCAGCCTGGTGCTTCATTATATAAATACATATTAATACCGATAAAACTACATTAAGATGGAGTTATGTTTGAGATTATGTACCAATAACATAAGTGTGGAAAAATTACATGGATGTTGTAATTATCTTCAAACTAAAAGTATCTCAAACCCAGGAAATTCAGAGACAAGGTTACACTCAAAAGAAATCCAAACATGTTAGAGTGAGAAAGGCATAGTTAAGGCCCCCAAACAACTGTAACTCTCCTGCATAGCGATGCCATGCAATAACTGTATGATCATGATTAAGGCATTTTAGTATTTGTGGGCCCTGATCAGAATAAACTGATTTTTAGAGACATTACATTTTAACCCCATGTTTTTCCCTTAAGTGATCTGTACTCTCAAGCTCAACTTTGTCTTAACAATTTTTTCTCTGGGACTTTCCCTAGTTTTTTTTTTTTAAACTAAAAAAACCTCATACACAAACACTAAACAAGAAACTCAGAATACTACGAGGTGATATTTCTAATGGTTTGAAGGTATGTAGAATCAACTTGAGATCATGTTGTAAAATGTATTTATTTATTTAGTTAGTTCTAACTTTTAAGGGCAGATTCACCAATAGGCCAAAGAATCACAGAGCAGCCAGCACCTACTGGTCAGTGAAATGGAGTTGACCACTGTTTCAAGTTGCTAGAGCAGTGCAATCCGTGAATCTGGCCTTTTGTTTGCAATTGACTTATTGGCTTGGAGGGCTGTGTTAGTGAGACCAATGCTATGTCCAGGGAGGGCAGAGAGAGCCCAGTCCCTGAGCCCCAACAGCTCTGAGTTTTAAGGGCTCCCGTGTGCTTCTGCCCCAGTTCCCCCAGTCGTACTCACTCAATGGACAGTGCAGTCAATGCATCCATGCCCTGGAGAGCTTTGATGCCCAAACCTGCATGTGGCCATGGACGCTTTAAAGAGCAGGGACGGTTGAGACAGTAAATCTACCAGTGAGAACTCTTGATGCATGTGCTCTGTGTCCCTCATATCACTGAGTCATTACAGCCAATTTGTTGCATGGAAATTTTATGTAGAGGAAGGGGGTGATTTGATTAGTTGAGTTACATCTGATGTCATAATGGACCCACTTAAGAGTTATTTGAGCCCGTCTGTAGCCCATATAATCACAACAATTAGATATAACAGTTGCTTATAACTTAATTATAAACTAAGTTCTTCAAATACACCCCATGCACAAGATTTCAATTAGTTTTAACTATATGGAAAATGTCAAGTGTCTGTGCTATTCCATTTTCATTCAGAACAAAGAAAACAGTGACAGATCTAAATTTATTAAAGGATCCAGTTTGGAATGTATTTGAACTCACATTAATTAATGGAACTGTAAATTCTCAGTACATTTAATCAATTCTCAAAGAGTAAGTGCTGTAACTTTTGGGATGCTACCCTTTATGTTTCATACAGGAGCTAGAAACACAACGATATGTATAACACTTATTGATACAAAGGTCTACAAATATTCCATTTGCCCATAGCTTCTGGAACATCTCAATATAATAGTCTGAAGTCTCCATGCTTCCAATGTCTCACATCTGTCACATCTCCCCTCTGGAAACGATCAGTGACAATAAGAAGCAAAAGAAGTTAACCCTTTCATCCTGGTAGGTAACAGTATGTATCGCGGGGTGGGGGGTGAGGGAGGGAGAGAGGACCAAGTACATGTATTCTTTCATAAAATATAAATCTGAAGTTTTCCAGTTCTCTACCCCTGGCAGCAATCTATTTGCATCATGAAACAGATCCGATTTCCTTTCTGTTTTGGCATATACTACTGAAATAATCCAACTGGTTTAAAGAACCTACTTAATTAAAAAAAAACTATGAAAATATTAAATCCTTGACTGCAGTGACCAAAGTCACATTTTTACCCATGACAGAACTTCTTGAACTAGCTTTCAATGAGATCATCATATCAAAATATGTATAATGTACACCATGATTTATTAGCTTGCTGTATCAAGTTACTGTGAACAATGTAGATAGCTACAGGAAGTAACAACCTCCTGCCATTGTGTTTTACATTTCTTTAGAAGACATTCTGTTTACACTAGGAATTTACGGAAATCAGCTGACTGAATTGCAACTGTAATTATCCCAACTGGAAGAGTAAGCATAAGAGAGAATTGGGTTCATAGTCCTGCAACACCCTGCCTAAATGACATGAAGTGACCTTGTCTATTGTTCTCTAAGTGGTTTTTCCAGAATGTCACATGCATCTATTACCCACTTAACCCACTTGAGCATATAGAAACCAGCCAATGTTCTCCTTGCTACATATGGTTATTAAAAATGCAGTATCAATGTGCATTCAGTATCTCTAAACAAAATTCCTAATCCATATACTGTAGAAATATGATCTTAGATTAAAAACATCACAAAAAATGTTTCACCTGAAAATAATAGTTCTAGAATAAATGTTTATATGTAGTAATATGCATCCAAAGGCTTTTAAGCTTTTAATGTTTAAGAAGTGAGCTTCAGAAAACCACTCTGACGTGAGAACTATGCAAATGTCACACAGGGAAACTGAGGCAGAAAGTCTAAGATTTAGCCAGGGTAATACAGGAATTGTATGGAAAATCTAAAAAGAAAAGGAGTACTTGTGGGACCTTAGAGACTAACAAATTTATTAGCGCATAAGCTTTTGTGAGCTAGAGCTCACTTCATCGGATGTATGCAGTGGAAAATACAGTGGGGAGATTTTATATACACAGAGAATATGAAACAATGGGTGTTACCATACACACTGTAACAAGAGTGATCAGGAAAGGTGAGCTATTACCAGCAGGAGAGTGGGTGGGGGGCAAGGAACCTTTTGTAGTGATAATCAAGGTGGGCCATTTCCAGAAGTTTGCAAGAACAGTAAGAGGGGAAATAAACATGGGGAAATAGTTTTACTTTGTGTAATGACCCATCCACTCCCAGTCTCTATTCAAGCCTAAGTTAATTGTATCCAGTTTGCAAATTAATTCCAATTCAGCAGTCTCTTGTTGGAGTCTGTTTTTGAAGTCTTTTTTGTTGAAGAATTGCCACTTTTAGATCTGTAATTGAGTGACCAAAGAGATTGAAGTGTTCTACGATTGGTTTTTGAATGTTATAATTCTTGACGTTCTGATTTGTGTCTGTATGGTAACACCCATTGTTTCATGTTCTCTGTGTATATAAAATCTCCCCACTATATTTTCCACTCTATGCATCCGATGAAGGGGGCTGTAGCTCACAAAAGCTTATGCTCTAATAAATTTGTTAGTCTCTAAGGTGCCACAAGTACTCCTTTTCTTTTTAAGGATACAGACTAACACGGCTGCTACTCTGAAGCCTATGGAAAATCTAGGAGCTGAACTCCTTAGTGCCTCACCCTAGTCTTTATTAATTTATATATTTTCCAAAGTATACTAGAACAAACACACCCTGCCCCTTGTTTTCTTAGTGCAGACTCATGAATAATGAAAATACCACAAATGGGGGAAATGCAAGGGTGAGAGGTCTGATGGTTAAAACAAATGGTTATAACAAAAGGACTTGCAGTTACTTTGCTGAGTTGCCTGCATATTAAATGGTTGTGTTTATAAACAAATTTAAAAAGCTAGATTGGGCTACTTTCACCCATGACAGGAAATAAAGCGGGGCGGGTGAGGAAAGGAAAAGAACCCTCCCTCACCTGCAGCTGTATGTGGACTACCCAGATCTGGGGTGTGGGCATGACAGAGTAAGCAGGGGAGCTAAGGAGTGAGAGGAATGAACCACCCCTCTTCTTGCTCTCACAATTTCTTTGCAAGGGTGTTTCTGGAGTAACACAACTACATGTCCCTTAATATGATCAATGTCCTTGGAACATAGTCTAGCCCCAAACTGTTTTTATGCTTCCAGTTGAAGTGATCACTAATTTAATATTTCAATTCATAACATATTTATGGGAATTAGGTTGATTGCCACTGTTTATATTTCATGAGTCTGGGTTAAATCCAAGAAAATGTTACCACTTCACAACAGTCCGAGACTAATGCCAGACTTTAGCTACCTTATTTAAAACTTTATCTCACTTCTCAACACTACAGTGAATGGAAAATACTTACCAAAGATTAACACCACTCCTTGCAATCTGACCCTTTAGTTACTTAAATGAATTTGTACTGTAGGTACTTTGAAGCAGAAGATTGTAGGAAAAATCTATATGGGGTGGCCAGCCTGTGGCTCCGGAGCCACATGCGGCTCCTTGTACAGGCACCGACTCTGGGGCTGGAGCTACAGGCGCCAGCTTTCCAATGTGCCAGGGGGTGCTCACTGCTCAACCCCCAGCTCTGCCACAGGCCCTGCCCCCACTCCACCCCTTTCCTCTCCCCCGCCCCCCGAGCCTGCCATGCCCTCACTCCTCCCCCCCTCCACCCCCCAGCTTCCTGCATGCCACGAAGAAGCTGATTGGGAGGTGTGGGGAGGGAGGGGGAGGCGCTGATCGGTGGGGCAGGGGCACTCGGAGCGGGGGATGGGGGGAGTGAGGAAGCTGATGGGGGGCTGCTGACATATTACTGTGGCTCTTTGGCAATGTACATTGGTAAATTCTGGCTCCTTCTCCGGCTTAGGTTAGCCACCCCAATCTATAATTTTACTGTGCAGGTGATCTGACATTTGATAGCCTGTAAGAGAGGAAACATTCATATCTACTGTACATCCACAGCAGCCATGCTACAGAAATACTTTCAGTCTGCAAGACATTAAAAGTTTCTATAGAAATTCAGAACATTTACATTTTAAAATCTCCTCACCCCCAATTCTTTGGGTCTTATTCATGTAGAACGACAATATTTTATGTCTATGTAGGATCATATTAGTAAGAGACAAGAGACCTATTGAGAATCCAACTTCCTACAAATTCAGGATACAGCCTTCCTGGAAAGATATAATGTAACAAAATTGATCTTGGCCAAAAGGCCTTTTATTCTAAAAGATCCGAGTACAATTTAAGCTATAACCATATAGCACTGCGCTGGAGGATCGCTCTGCTTTTATTGACTGAATCAGCTTCTTCATGGCCCCCTTGTAGTGGATGGGTTCTACAGGTTCTCATCAGCCACCTCTAGTGCAAAAGCTGCTGGTGCACCTGAGCCAGGCAGGATACAAGGAGCATGATCAAGTAGGGAGACAGAACTGGAATTCTAGCGCATGGGGTAGATGAACTGCTTTGGTCTCCTAGTATAGCTGGAGCTCCTGGCAGGTGGGGTGCTTTAATGTCTTGCGACTGGAGGGGCTGCAAAAATGTACCGGGTTGGTGTTATGCCACTGGCCCTGACTATGCTGTGGCAGGGGGTAAGAGCCACAAAGAAAGGCATTTTTATTTCTCATCAGATATATACTGAAGAAATTGACAATTTTTCACAGTATCAAATAGGTTCATTGTCTTCCACTTTTATTAAGTGGTAAAATTGTATTATGGCCAACATAACGAAACCCCCAATACATGTGGAGTGTGGCATGTTGCCACATCTCAGTGTACCAGGATAGTAATAATTTCCATAGCAACTTGTCTAAAAAAAAATTCCTATTTAAAATAGAGCCTTTCAAAGCTCCAGTACTTAGTACGGTGAACCAACAGCTTCATTTAAGGTTACTTGCTTCTGAAGGTTTTACAACTGGCCTAGGGCTTGTAATGGCACCACCACCAGATGTCAAAGTAAAATGTTTAGAGATCAAAATGAACATCTTACATTTCCACAGCATTTTTTCACCCTAAAATACATCAAAGCACTTCAAAATTTATTATCGGTGGGGAGGGGAGCACCACTTATTAAGATGCCTAATGCTTCCCATTGTAACACCCTATTTTCAATTACTTATAACTTTCCCCAACTTTAATGGCTTGGGCTAAAATTTTCCACGCTGAGTGACTGCCTCAGGCAGAATTGGTCAGGGGGTTTCCTGTGTGTTTGGGTTTTTTTGAAAGTTTTGCTCAAAATGGTTTAGCC